TATTTGAAGATTTGAAAGTGCTAGAAACCAACCAGGGAAGGTGACCCAGAAGTCAGAGAGCTTTTTGGCAAAGGATAGTCTTACATTTATGGCAGCAGATGTCCAGCCTGGGTGCCCAATAGAATCACCTGGGAGCTTTTCAAGTTTGCCATTCTCAACTCCCACCCCAGAGAGATTCTGACTCATTGGGTCCGGGGTGGGTCTTGGGCACTGGTGTTGTTTAAAAGCTCCCCACCCCGGGGAGTTTCTGATGTGCATCCAGGGTTGAGAATCACTGCTTTAGATTACAGAGTGCTTTCACATATATTATCTAGGGTTCTGTATACATGAAGAGAGGAGATAGAAACATTTTTAATGCCTGTCGATTGTATAAGGAAAAAAGAGACAAGAGTAGTAATTATGAAAATGAAAGGATTGCACAAAAATAAGTTTCCAAAAATTGGAGGAAAGAACCTCACCTTTGCAGAGCTAAAATTGGGGATGATATCAATCCATGGAGTGTAGAACATTAAGAATATGTGTCTGTATTTCCTGCTCTATAGGGAATATTCTTGAGATGACAGCAAAATTCCCTACCCAGAGAAGTCTGAAAATAGTCATCCAATATTTGATGCCTATTATTTCCTAAAGCCTTATTCATTCTACTCTATAAATGAGAAATATTGGAAAGGAGAAGGAGGACATTTGCTGTTAGTCAAAAAATATGTTGGAAAACATGTTAATATTTCCATGTGCATTTTCGGGCTGTGCACATGATTTGCACGTATAGACAGACAAAATGCCTCAACAGTGATCCTAACAGCTTTCATATGGTTATAAATTCTGCACGTAAAAGTAGCGTCTAACTACTGTGGTTATAGCTGAAGGATGACGTAGAGCCAACTCTGGGCTCTCAGATTAGGGAGAATAGAAGTCAAGTTACAATGAGGCAGAAGAAAAGTCAGTTGTGCTCAGAAAGTAGGGTATTGAATTGTAAGGTTTTAGAAGTGGGTGATGACAAAGCTTAGGCTGTGACCAAGAGAGTAAGTGACAGCTACTGTCAACAAAGCAGAGGCTAAGCTATCATCTCCGTGTCAACCAACAAGGTGGAAATGAACCACACTTCATGTGCGGGAAAGAAAATCTTCGAGACCCTAAGTATTTAAGATAAGGAGCTTCAGTTAATTCACCCCTCCTCCCTCTAGTTTCTAACAGAGACTGACTAATAGTAATAGAAACAGTAGTTCAGCACTTACTTAGTGTCAGCATTGTTCCAAGCACTTTGCATACATTCCAATATTCACAGCAATTTTTGTGACAATAGGCACTATCATGCCCAATTTACAGACAAGAAAACTGAGACGTAGAGTAGACAACTTGCCCAATGTGGGTTATAAATGCCGGGGAGAAGACATAGACAGAGTTGGCTGAGAGATTATTTCATGGAAGATATCAGCAAACGAAAGTGAATGGAGTCCAGGAAGAGGCCTGCCCATCAGTGTATTTGCACACCAACAGATAGATACGTGTAGGGACTGGTGAGAGATGAGTCTGAAATAATGCATGGGAGCCATACTGGAGAGAGTCCTAAACACCGGTGTTCAGAGTTTGAACCTGATTTTGGGGGAGGAGGAAAATGACATAGCACTGTAGCTTCAGATGATTAACTTTTGAATATGAACAAATTAGAGAGAGGCTGCACTGAAAGGACACAAGTTAGGGTTCTGTTCGTCCTGATTATATGAGAGGTAATGAGTGTATGGACGAGGGGGTAACAGTTGAAGGTTAAAGGAAGAGACTGTGTGATACATGTAAGAGTCAAACGCAAAGTTTTTGTAGCTGGCTGGATGCAGGGGGTGAGAGAGAGGGAAGAAGTTAAGTAGAATCTAAGGTTTCAAGTCTGAGAAACTGAGTGAACGATTGGTGGAAGTTCAGGAGAGGCCCTTTTTGGGGGGTGGGAGGTACAACGTGAGTAGCTGGACCTTGAAAATCTGCGATTTGTTGTGTGAGTAGGCCATTGGGTGGAAGACCACAGCAGGAAGTCGGAAACATAAATTTGGAACTTAGAAGAGTCTGGGCTGGAAATGAAGCCTTTGGGGTTATCAGCATAATGGTGCTGTGGTAAAACTGGGGAGTGGATGAAACCTCTGAAGAGGGGGAAAAGAAGCCAGTAGAGATCTTCGGAAAACATTTACATTTGGGGACAAGCAGAAGGAAGAGGAGCCAGCAAAGGAAGCAAAAAGAGTGGCAACTGGTAACAGAAGGATAGGAACACTCAGAAGCATGCATCCCAGAATACAAGGAACGAGAGTTTCCAGAAAAGAGCTGATTTAGCAAAACCTCAGAGAAGCCAAGAAGAATAACACCATCTGGAATTGTTGATTTGAAGGTTTTAAGGATCAAGAGTAGCAGTAGAAGGACAGGAGGTGGCTTTGCATGGGAAGGAGTGAGGAGATCAAAGGAGACAAAGGCTGCAGGACTTGCCTCCCTTTCAAGAGTGTGACAGCGAGGAAGAAAGAGAAGACGGTCACTTGAGGGGATAAGACACGTAAGGGAAAGTGCTTTGTTTTGTTCTTAAGATAAAGAGCACCCCTTAAATCTACTGTAGACAGAGATGAAGGAGTCGGAGAGAGGGATGAGGGAAGCTGCGCAGGTATCGCTGGGTAGTAGCAGCAACAACACTTTCCCTGACAGAAATCACAGCAGAGTGAGGTCCTAAGCTGTTTCCTCTCTTGGCATAAAACAAACCAGAACTCATGGAACTGCTGTGCTTAATGACTCAACGCTCAGCACTTCTCTCAGAGAATAAGGCGAGGACCCATGAGGCAGGGTTCTTCTCTGCTGGGGGAATGCGTGAGTTTAATCCATACATCCCAGGGCAGAGAGGGAGAAGGAGCCCACACCGCACAGTCGTTAAAGGGTAAAATAACCTCCCTCGGGTCCAGGGAGAAGACAACACTTTGATAGTGAATTTGGGGTGTAAAATATTAGGATTTTCTTTTTATAATTACTATTTGTAGGTTGTATAACGTGTAAATATTCTATGTGCAGGAGAGGGGAGGACATTTTTATCCTGTTTTTCAAAAAAGAAATAGTTAAATGCACTTAAGTACCTGAATGTTATTTCCCTCACTCTATATGAGGCAAAAGCTTCCTGGGAAAAAATGGGAAGAAAGGCAAACATATTGATAGCGGTTAATCAGTGATGGCTAGCTTCGAAGGCTGTAGGCCTAGGTAGGACAACTGCCATAAAACATTCTGCAAACAATGTGCTCCATTGTCCTGTCCTTTCCTGTCAAGGGGAGGGAGGGCTGCGCTGGACACAGGATGTCACAAAGGAAAAGGGGAAATGGCAAAGGGAGCAGAGAGATAAAGAGAGACGCCATGTTCCCAGGGAATGCGCACACCCTCCCTCTTCTGTGGGTACCACGTGTGGCCCTGTGTTTTCAGAAATGGTCCCTGGAGCCCCATCACTGTCACATTGCTGCATATTCCTCAGACGTGGAGAAAAACCTTGGAGGTTCTTAGCACATCTCCCTCTGGAGATGGAGCTGAGCTTAGCACCAACAAGAGAACCCCAGAGGGGATTTGTCTCTCCTCCGTGCTTGGGTAATGGCTAGTCCCTCATCCCCAGGGAAGAATTAAGTTCAGTGCGTGCCTCGCACTATATTACACACTCAATCCTGAACAGCTGGACTGCTAATATAATTTAAAAAGAAGAGAGAACTGGCTGTTCACCATCTATATATAATGTATTCATAATAAATCTCTCAATGAGGAGGTATAAAGGTTTCCTGTCTCTGTACAGCCAAAGGAAGCAGAGCATTAGGCAAGTATCCAGTGAGTCTCATTAACAGAGCCAACCAATGTGGAAAATCCAGGGGGACTCGCTCCACATTTCTATTAGTCACGGCAATTATTTTTACCTGAAATATGCTAATAATTTTCTCACTTGCAAAACTGACTTTGCCTAAGGATTAATAGATGTGCTTTTTCTTAATAGTTACTGAATATCCTCCATGTTCTAGAGACCACGTAAAAATAAAGCATTGCCTGTCACCCTTTTTTTCTTTTTTCACTTTATTTCTGAGAACATAAAATAGTAAAGCCATCCCAGAATGATTTATTTTCAAGAAAATGGAAATAATAAGGCATAAGACAGTAGTTTTGTAAAATTCTATATTATGTATGAAATGCCTCTAACAATAAGATCATCTCAGTGTCTAAGAGGGTACCTACCCTCTTTTCTTTAATGCAGAGGAAAAGGACATGATTTTGACCATTTAGTGGCACATTTGACCATTAAGGGATGAATTCAAAAAGAGGGCCATGTAACTAACCTGTATCGAGTTCTTCAGAAGGTTTATCTGATCTGTCAAGAAGTCATTTCTACTGACTCCTTTTTACAATAGTAAAATAGTGTATACAAAATCATAAAAAGAAGATAGTTTGGGTTTTTTTAATTCTTCCCTTCCTAGAATTTAAATGCCTGTTGCAGCATTGTTGGGATAGAGAGTTTTCGTAGGCTTTGTTTCGATGACTGCACGAATAAAGTGGATTTGCCACCATTGAGCGTACTTCAATGAGAGATGCTTAAGCAACCTCCACTTTGTCTCTGCTGTGAATATTCTTCAGCAGCCATCTTTGTTTTTCTAAATGTTAGTTTATTTCTTCAGGATAGCTTTTCTGAAATGAAATTACTAGATCAAATGGTATGAATATTTTAAAGCTCCTCTTTCCAAACATATTTCTCAGTAGCTTTCCAAAAGGGTTTTAATTTACCTTACATTAACAATATACGAGAATTATAGTTTTACCTCAGGCTTAACAAGCTGATAATAAGACTACGTTACTTTTATTTGTGCTTACTCATTCCTGGCAAGCTTGAAAATTTTTTCACGTCTTCGTTTACAACTTTTGTGTGCATTTGGTTCTTAATTTTTCTTTGTTTTCTTCTCAGTTGGCTTATTTTTCCCAGCTCCAGCCTCAACTGCTCTCCTCCCCTTTATTGCTTTGTATAGGTTCCCATGACTCATTCAGCTACTGGGTAGATGAAAAGTCCCCGGTGGGGCCTGATCAAACCCCAGCTATCAAACGCCTCGCCAGGATCTCCTTGGTGAAGAAGCTGATGAAGAAATGGTCTGTGACTCAGAACCTGACTTTCCGAGAACAGCTGGAAGCTGGGATCCGCTACTTCGACCTGCGTGTGTCTTCCAAGCCGGGGGATGCCGACCAGGAGATCTACTTCATTCATGGGCTCTTTGGCATCAAGGTCTGGGATGGGCTGATGGAGATTGACTCCTTTCTTGCACAGCACCCGAGGGAGATTGTCTTCCTGGATTTCAACCACTTCTATGCCATGGAGGAGGCCCATCACCAACGCCTGATTCTCCGCATCCGGGAGGCCTTTGGAAGCAAGCTGTGCTCAGCCTGCAGTGTGGAGAGTCTGAGGCTACAGACCCTGTGGGAGAAGAAGTGCCAGGTAGGAGGAAACAGAGATGAGCTTCCAAGGGCGAGAACCTCACTCTTTCTGCTGTTTCTATATGGCCAGCTGTAAGACAGCTCACTCCAGCGCTCTTAGACCAGAAGGTATAGATTGTTTGGAATATCAAACATAGCACACTGGTTCCCAGGCTGTAGGATAGGGCTCCCCCGGCGCCATCGAACTGGGATTAACACCTGCCAAATATTTAAAACTTGTTTGGCAACCTGTTTGACATCTAAATTAACTTTGAGTGGGCTGGCCAGAACCAACCCAAAGCACAGTCGTCAAATGGGACCAGTTGGTCATACCACTTTTCTGTCTCCCATAGAGCCCATTTTTGCCTTCCTAATTGCCCTCAGGGATAATCCATTCCATCCTGCCTTCAACTCAGTGTCAGAGAATCCCTGCCAAGGGATTGATTGGTAAATTACAGCATTAGCTGAGAAAGGCACATGAGGTGATTCATCTCAGGGGTGTTAACATCTTCAAAGGCCATCTTCACAGAATTTGGGTCATACTGGCAGGAGTTAAGGAAGGAAGAGCCTGTGGAAGGGATCCAGGTTGGAAGAACAGTCCCCAGATTGCTCAGGCTGAGGACAGCCCCCAAACATAGACCCATGAAAGACACACTCAAGAAAAAGAAAGTGAGCTTCAGATATATTCTGCTCTGATCCCAAAGGATGGTAGATAGTGGGAGAGGGGAGCTTCAGGAAAGGTCAGCCTGCACTTAGACTCTTTTTATTTTAAAAAGGGGAAAAAACAAGTACTTTTCATTCATAGTTGCTCACTTACTCATAGATACATTAACCAAAGCATCTAAAAGAGGCAGTTATTGTTAAACTTAAGGAAGAGCTTTTAGTTAAAAATCAATTAAAGATTATTCACTTGCAAATATTTATTGAACACCAAGTATGTGCCAAGCATCATTCTCAGTACTTGGGGTAAATCGGTACACAAAGATCTTTGCCCTGAGGGAGCTTTCATTCAGCTGGAGGGAGATAGATCGTAGATAATAAACATAGTAAACACATTATATATAATGCTAGAAAGTGATCGGAGTGATGAAAAAAGAAAGTCAAGCGTAGTAAGGGAGAGCCAGGGCTCTGTGGGTTGGAGGGTTGGTTGCAATTTTAAATAGCTTGATCAGGGTAGACAGTTAAGGGAGTTAATAGGGGCTTATTAGGGGAAGAGTTTTCTCTACAGAGGAACCAGCCAGTGCAGAGCCCCAAAGCAGGAGTGTGCCGGACACCCCAGGAAAAGCAGGGCCTTGGGGCTGGATGGAGAGTAGAGCAGCAGGAGGCCAGAGAGATAATGGGTGATCATGTAAGGACTTTGGCTTCTACTCTGAGTGAGGAAAATTCTGGAAGAGTTCTGAGCACAGGGTGCTGAGACCTGAATTAGGTTTTAATGGGATCTCTGTGATTGCTAGGAAGAGACCAGGGGTAGGAGGAGCGAGGAAAGATGGGAAACCAGTGAGGAGACTACTAGTCGGCAGTGGGCAGGTCGGAATCTATGGGAAGGTAGGGCCAACAGGGTTTTCTGATGGATGGGATTTGGGGCGTGAAAGAAAGTGAGGATTCAAGGATGACTCCCAGGTTTGACCTGAGTAACTGGAAACACCAGGTTGTTTTGCACACCTGTAAAAATGCTAAATGCCTTTGACTCCACAGTGGCTAATGGGTTAACTTTTAGTATCTGTTAAAAGTTGTCTAAGCCACTTTTTCTCACTAAAACTTTGTAAGTGGTATTTTGCCAATGATTTATCACACTGTTACCAAAGTGAGTTCACCTCCTGGCGAGTTAAAATCAGACTCTCCACCAGAAGTAGTGGTCTCACAACATAGGGTATATTTGCAGCAAATAGAAGGCCATGCAGAACCATTTCCAAAGTTGGCATCCCCAAACGAAGGGAAGCAGGGCCGTTTATTTCCGATGGGGAATGAATATTCCAAAGGGAGAGGTGGGTTTTGGCTTGAGCAGGCTCATTTGGAAAACAAGCCTCCACATAAACTGCAGGTTATGCTAATAAGGCCTAAGCTCCTCCCAGAGAAGAGATCTTAGCATTAAAAATAAGGCAAAGGTCATAGGCACCCGCTTTTGTGGTAGGGCTTGGTCTGGTTCAGGGTGGTTGGTGACTGCATCCCTTAAACAATGAAATGTGCCCAAACCCACCCTTGAGTTCCTCAGGGCAGTCAGTCAGTGACAATGCCTCTCCCTCTAAACTTGAGTTGGTGTCTGTTCCAACTCACAGGTCTAATTTGGAGAGATTTTTTCCCCAGTGGAGTCTCTCTCTTACAATGTTAAACAATAGTAATAACAACAGTCATAATAGCAACTAACATTTATTGAGCCTTTCCACTGTGCTAGGTACGTGGATTAACATGTGTAATCCTCTCCACAACACTAGGAGGTTGGTCAGTATTTTGTTATTATCCCCATTTTACACATGAGAAAACGGGAGACTTGGAGAGGTTAAGCACCTTGCCCAGAGAACATTGTTAGTGAGTGGTGTAGGGGAGGAAGATAATTCCTCTATCCTTTAGGTCCTTCTGGCTGGTCTAAGAATTAAATTGACATGAGGCAGAATAAAAGGGGAAAATAGAACAAAGTTTAATAACATGTATACATGGGAGAGACCCAGGAAAACTGAGTAACTCACTGAAATGGCCAAAGCCACCACCTTAAATACCATCTTCAGCTAAAGACAAAAGAGGATGTTGGGGGTAGTGGTTTGGGACTTCAAAGGGAGGAAGGCAATTTACATGGAGATAGAAATGCATATGTTTGATAACCAAGTAGTTTTTGGGCCATCTATAGACAGTGTGACCTGGGAGACAGAAATTTGGTAAAAATGGGCTTGTTAGTGCCTTCCTGTCTATCGCACCTAGTTAACATCTTACTATAGTTATCTTCTGGTATTAGCTCCTTCATGGAACAGATCTTCTGTCTTAAGTTCCTTTAGGCAGTTAGGGAGAAGGTCAAAGTTTCTTTCAGAGTCTGTTGTCTTTAAAAATAATCAAGGCAGGGGCTGGCCCCGTGGCCAAGTGGTTAAGTTCGCGCGCTCCGCTGCAGGCGGCCCAGTGTTTCGTTGGTTCGAATCCTGGGTGCGGACATGGCACTGCTCATCAAACCACGCTGAGGCAGCGTCCCACATACCACAACTAGAAGAATCCACAACGAAGAATATACAACTATGTACCGGGGGGCTTTGGGGAGAAAAAGGAAATAATAAAATCTTAAAAAAAAAAAAAAAATCAAGGCAAAGAGACACATTTTGCCGTGGCTGATTTTGATCCCCCACATGGCAAGAGCCTGTTACACATCTTGGTGACTTTCACAACTAGTGTAGTAGATGATGCCAACAGAAACACTTTGTCTTTATTCATGAGCCACTGTTAGCAGGGTCTCAGAGGGTTAGCAGAATGGAGAAAGGGACAGAGATCTGTAAGAGGGCTTTTGACTATGGGGATTCAGGGAAGGTTAAATTTGAGTATAGCTAAGTTTATAAACAGATATTTGTGATAAATATAGTTTTATAATTTTGTATACACATAGTGTTCTGGATAGGTTGCCATATTGCATGCTAAATTGCTTAGAAATCTGCAGGAGTAACAGATATTTTCAGGAATAATGCATAGTGTGGACAGTGAATTTCTAGCAGCACAGCAATGATCTATCATAAAGTATGGGCTAATCTGTGTCATCCAATGACAAGTATGCCTAAAATTATGAAGGAAAGAGTCTGTGATGACATAACAGAAAAAGAGAGAATGTCGTCGATTTGAATTCTGGCATCTCCTTTTTCTTCTTCCTTTCCCAAAATTTCCCTGCCAGGTCTCTTCTCAAAAGCTAAGCAGATCTCCCACAGAGTCCTCAGGCATCTCCCCCTGCTGGGGCAGTGCCATACTGGCAGTTAAGCGTCAAATATTCATTATGTAATGAGCTGCCTTGCGTGTAACCCCCTGAGTATTTTATGGCTACAATTTAATAGCAAGAACTGTACAACCATTTTGTCAAATTTCATTTATTCAACATGCAATTACATCACAACTCACAGGTGTATCTCTGTACGTTAGTGGCTATGAGTTTTGAGGGTACAGTGAATTAGAATATTTAATCTGCATCTTGACAGTATTTAGAATCTTAATGAAAAGGTAAGAATGCAGAACACTAGTAAAATACAAAACACCTGATATACAGTTGAGGATAAAACTACCTCAAATGTACTATATGAAGAAAGGGGTTTGTAAGCACTCAATTGAAAATAGTACATAGTATAAATCTACATCCCAGGGGCCTCTAGTAAAGGACTGGCCAGAATGAGAAGAGGTCAATTATGGAACAATTCTCAAAGGAAATAAGATTTTTAATCTGAGTCTCAAGAGAAAAACTGATCATTGGAAGGGAAAGTATTTCAGAGAAAAATACAGCAGAGCCAGGTAGGGGGCACATGCAAAACCCGGGCCCTGGGGCAACAGTTACTGCCCCTGGAACTCTGTAGAATGAGGGTTGGTTTGCTAGGCCAACCTCCTCCTGTAAACAGAAATTCTCCCTATAACCTTTAGGGTCAGATTGCCCAAAAAGACTCTCGAGGAAAAGTATTCAAACCCCTTTCCTGTAATTTGTACTTTCTGCATCTTTTCCAAGGCAGAGTAAAGAATAGACTGTCTTTTCGTCCCTCACGCACAGGAAACGGTCTGACAGGCCCTGTCGAGGGTCACACAGCCTCCGCCTCTCCCACAGTCCATTTCACAGGCCAGCTTTCCTCACTTATGATGCTGGAGACCTCTGCCTTCCAAACTAGCCAGTTCCACCGCCAGCAGCAAATCTACCCGATCTCCCAGGCAATCTGCTTACAATGAGCCGGTGATTAACCTCATTAACACACAGCCAGCATTAGCAGTCAGTCAGACATTACTCAAATCCATTAAAAACAACAAGAACAGCTATTAGCCTGTTCAGGCATCAAGCCTGGCGCTCCCCAGCCCTAGGCCTTCAGGAGCGGTTAGTCTGGCACCTTAGTCATGAGCTAAATGTGCACCGGAAACAAGACACACGTTCAGAGCCCTCGATCTTGGGTGCCTGGAGGATTATGCTCTGGGGCCAGCTATCCGAGGATTGCAGTCCAGAGAGTGTAAACATGCACGCTGGACATTCCTCCAGGAAGAATCACTGGTACCCAGGAGGGGAAAGATATGTGACTTCTAGAAACCAAATTAGCAACTCTCTGTCCCTCAGCTGCCTCTCAGAAACTAATTAATGCTGTGGATGTGGCTTGCTAATTATTTTGAAATCACCACCATCCTGAGAGGTCCCTCTGGAGACCCATCAGCTCCTCAAAGTCTTTCCTACCTCAAGCAGAGAACTCCCTCCCTCTCCTGGGACAGGCAATTTCACTCAGAGTCAGCATACACAGTGCAAGATGTGTGTGCTCCCAAATTAGTTGTGTATTGATCTGAACTCCAAGAGCTGTGTCAGTTTCATGAGCAAAGGAGTCATAACTTCCAGACAGCAGTAGCCACAGGGGTTCTCCACCTGGGTCCAGAGATTCCCAAGGGGAGAGAGTGTGAGTGGAATGTAAGAAGTCTGTGAATTTGGATAGGAAAAAACTACGTTTATTCTCACTCACCTTTTTTTTTTTTAAAGATTTAATTTTTCCTTTTTCTCCCCAAAGCCCCCTGGTACATAGTTGCGTATTTTTGGTTGTGGGTCCTTCCAGTTGTGGCATGTGGGACCCCACCCCAGCATAGCCCAACGCAAGCGGTGCCATGTCCCCACCCAGGATCCGAACTGGCGAAACCCCAGGCCGCCAAAGCAGAGTGCGAGAACTTAACCACTCCGCCACGCAGCCGGTCCCAATTCTCACTAACTTTTAAGTGAAAATTAATATCCCCATTGATTGTAAGTGCCTGCATTGACCACAGCAGGATTGGCCCTACTCTGACTTTGTCCCCATGGAAATCACAGAGATTTCCATATCACATTCCAGTTCTTATGGATAGCTTTTGAAATATCATTTATACTCATCAGTAACTCAAAATTATGGAACGTATTAGATTTACAACAAAATATTTTATTTGAAGGTGTAGGGGAGGAAGGCATTTCCTCTCCCCAAATGGGGGTTCGTCTGGCCGGAGAACGAATTAAATTCACATGAGACAGAATAGCAAGAGAAAATTAAACAAAGCTTTATGAGGAACCATGGCCCGGGGCCTTTCTTCTTGAAGGAAGAAAGGGCACCGAAGAAGTGGTGTGCACGTAGTGGTTATATACCCCCAAACAGGGTGTTTCACATGTGATTGAAATGTCCCTCCCACAATAGTCACAAGATTGCCCCATCAGCACAGCGCTTGATGGACACAGCAGGTAGTGGTCTGCTGTCTCAGAGGGCGTAGCAGGAGGCAAGTCTATTGTCTGGAGCTGGTGGTCACAGGTGAGCGCAGCAATCAGTTCCTAGCCTAAGGAAAGATGCTTAATCCTTAGAGAAATGCCAACGTTGGGAGGGGAAGGGGAGTCAGTTACAGGAGGTTACCAGACTAGCACAATAAAATGCAGATTTAAGTCCTTGCCTTTGGTATTGATTAAGAGTTTTTAGAGAAAAGGTCATCTCCTTTCTTCTTCCTGGTACAGAGAGGGAGGCACCTTTACAGATAGAGATCTACCTTACAAATGTAAATGTGTCCCAACAAAGGGCAAGTTCCATTCCTCAGAGCCTCCTTCCCTGTCCCAGTTTATCAAAAGCAATCAGCCTCAAATAATCCTGTGCCAAAGAGACATATCTTGGGGTGGCCAATTTCAGGTCCCCACAAAGGTATTTATTATGAAGCATATCCATTAATTTATTGCAAACTAATTAATATGTTGATAGCTGTATTTCCATCTCATTGATTTTCTTTGTAATCCTGTGTATTTTATTTTACGCATTCATTTAAAGCAGTCTGAGAAGGCGTTCAGGATTTTACCGTGCTTCCACAGGTGTTCATGACAAAAGAAAAGTTAAGAATCTTCAAGTCACACCTGTAACAAGTACTTTAATCTTTGCTTATTGATTTTTCTAAAAGAATGTATAACAATTCTTGACTTTCCATGTATGTCTATATTTGTTTGCCTTTCCACCTAGCCGTCAGCGTAAAGCTAAGGAGTTGCCATTCAGCTTGTCCATGAACTGCTCTCCTTTTCTGTTTGGAACGTTTCAGGTTCTTATTTTCTATCACTGTCCCTTCTACAAGCAATACCCCTTCCTGTGGCCAGGAAAGAAGATTCCAGCACCCTGGGCAAACACCACAAGTGTGCACAAGCTAATCCTCTTCTTGGAGACCACTCTGAGTGAGCGGGCCCCTCGCGGCTCCTTCCACGTCTCTCAAGCAATTCTCACCCCCAGAGTGAAGACTATCGCCCGAGGCCTGGTTGGTGGCCTCAAGAACACTCTGGTTCACAGGTAGGAATTTGCTTCCATGTCATCAGTAAGGTTGTAGAAAAAAAAAAACCGTTGATCTTGATTCTCTTCTGAATAAACAGCAGTAAAGCCATATAGTTTGAAGATTGAAAATAACAACAAAACAAAAAACCTTATTTTGAAAAAGCTATGCATTTGAGATAGCTTGCGTTAACTGTGGCCAAAGGATCTCTAAATACTTTGTTAAAATATACATATGATATCATAAATACTGCCTAAATTTTAATACTAAAGCAAAGTGCTTTAAGTCAACACCCGTATGTTGGCTTCTGGAGGTGGTCACATCATTTTCTTGCCTCTGCCCTTGCGGCCGGCCCAAGTGCTCACTCGTTTAAGAAGCATTCAGTGAGCCTGCTCTGCTGAAGCTAAGGATTCAGAGATGGCCCTCCAGGGATTTGGGGTGTCCTTCTCCCTTTCGTGGTGACAGTGAGTCCTAAGACGCAGCCTGGGATGCCCCCGCTGTGCCAGAGCCTCAGATACTTCCTCAGTACAGAATCAAGCCTGACTGTACCATCAGGCAGGAGAAGCTCCAAAAAGTTTGTATTAGATGATGTTCTTTATCCTGGACACCAATTAACAATAGGTGTTGTCAAGAAAAAGGTGTTGTCCAGAAAAGTCTTACATATATGTACATGTATGTATCTGTGTTGATGCCTGTGTCTGTGTGTAAAAGGAATGTTATAAATACGTTTGGATAACAGGGCATCCCTTGCCATCCAAGCTGAGGAAGCTAATACATTTGGGTGACAAAGGATATTTACAGGTGTCACTTTGGTCCCAGGTGATGAACACCAGAGTTCAAGATTCATCCATAAACCTGCCCCTGTCTCTTTGGCTCTGAGTTTGGATAGCATGACTTCAGATAGCAGGAGGTCACCTGGCAGGAGTCTGGATAGGAAGGAGCACCTGCACGTTTCTTTCTCGGCGAGAGCTCCTGATTAGTTGGCCATGAACAAAACCAGAAACCCCACTCCAGTCTTCACTGAATTATTTGTGCTGAACTTGAAAAAGAGAATTTTATAAACCAGTGACATATCTCTGAATGATCCAGAGTTACAAACTTTTTTTTTATAATATATGTTCATGTATCCACACCATTTTCCTCATGCCTTTGTAAATTTATAGATTAACAGTATTTATTTATTTATTTATTCGTTCAGCAAAGATTGAGTACCTAGGAAGAGCTAAGTCCAAAGATACAAGATGAATAATACAGTCTCTACTCTCAAGGAACTCACAGTCTAGCAGGAAAGCTAAACATGTAAATTTCTATGAAGGAATGTGAAAATCACTATAATAAAAGTTGGTGCTGAGAGCTGTGCTAGTAAAAGAGAGGACGTGTTTAAAAATAAAGACAAGGTACATCTGTAAACCGTATTCTGAATATAAAGTACCCTCCTGCAGATGATTTCATTGATTCTTAAATCGAGACAGCCTCTAGGAGGACACATTGTCTGGAGCAGTTTATCGTCCCCTTTTAAGATGGGCTCAGTGAGGTGCAGTGACCCAGAGCCACATAGCTGGTAAGAGTCAATAATGTGTCTCAACTCTGGACTTCTGACTGTTGGACTGTGGCCCTTTCCAGTGCTTAGTGCTGACTTGAATGGAGCGTGTTTCAGTGCCCTGTTCTCTCTGCTCCACTGGGCTGTAATTAATTGTCTTATTAATACCCGAATCTGGTCAGATCTTACTGGTTACAACTGTGAACCCACAAAGTCCCCATGCTTTTCATACTTGTAAATTCCTAGACCATTCATCTGGCTACAGATGCAGCACAAGGCCCTTTCACTTAGTGCTAATGATGGCGGCACGCACCCAAAACTAAGGCATCCCAGCATGCCGGAGCCCTCGCCCATTGGTAGCAAGCATATGTCTGCAAGATTGGAAAGATACTTGGGCGTCTTGACCCCTGCTGATCACAAGAATATTACAGGGATGCGTCATGCATTCCTAGGCCTCCACGTCAACTGAAGGAAGAAGTTCAACTTTGGTCAACAGTTTGTACCCAGACACATGCACAACATGTGACTGCCATTTCCTCTGTGCTACTGAACAAGCATAGGAAAGAAGCAGCTGTCATAGGGTCTTCTCGTGAGTCCCAGCACCTGGAAAGTCTGTCCTAACTAAGGTACACAGGGGTGCTGTCAAACTGGTCCTGGGCACAGATTGGCAGCTTAACCAAGAGGAAACAGACAAGGTCTGTTTTCCTACAAATGTGGTGGTTTTCTCAGCAGAGTTAACCCTCCCTCCCCCAACTCTTTGGTAAACATGGGCCTAAGATCTTGTTCACTTTGGTTCATCACCCTAAAAGGAAGCCATGAAAAACATAGCCATCTGACTGAAGTTCTATGGCAGTTATCCTTTCTATGGTAGGGTTCTTAGAACCTTGCAATCCTACTGAAATCAAATGAAAGCAAGTTTTGCCTAAACCTGATTGATGACAAAGCATCCATGGGACCACAGACCAGGCCACGAACTGAAATCAGAAGCCTGAGATTGAAGTCTGACTTGGTCCCTGTTATGGGCTGAATTGTGTTCCCTGAAAATTTGTATGTTGAGGCCCTAACCCCTAGTACCTCAGAATGTGACTATATTTGGTGATAGAGCCTTTAAAGAGGTAATGAAGTTAAAATGAGGCCGTTAGGGTGTATCCTAAGCCAGTCTTACTGGTGTCCTTATAAGAAGAGGAGGTTAGGACAGAGAGAGAGACACCAGGGATGCTGGGACACAGAGGAATGATCATGTGAGGACACAGCAAGGAGGCAACCATCTACAAACCAAGGAGAGAGGCCTCCTGAGAAACCAGTCCTGCCGACACCTTGTTCTTGGACTTTCAGCCTCCAGAACTGTGGGAAAATTAGCTTCTGTTGTTTGAGCCATCCAGTCTGGCACTTTCTTATGGCAGCCCTAGCAAACTAACGCAGTCCTTTAACAACAGGGTGGCCTTTGACCAGTTTCCTGAGGTCTCTGAGCTTTGGTTTTCTCACCAGTTAAATGGGTTAATAATACCACACAAGGTTCTAGAGTCTTAACATGAAGATGCTACCACAGTGCCAGGCACAGAAGAGGCATGCCATCCCTGTCTGTGAAAAAACTCAGAGACACAACAGACTGGCCTGTTCTCCCTGTGCCTCAAAGTCAACAGAAAGTTTCTCACCTCCTGCTCTGCAGCCCGTGGGATTTGGTGCCTTGCAGGCCTGTCCGCAGTATCTGGCTCAGCCTTCTGCATTGATCTCTCATCTTGGTAAATGCCTGGAGTTAAGAAAATAAAGTGGCTCCTCCTCACAGTGGGTTCTACATTTCCCTTTCTTTGTGTGTGATCTCGGTTATTTGATCCTTGCCTTGGGGAAGGTGGACACATGCAACCTGAAGCTGACACAGAGCTCTTTGTCGCTGGAGACCACAGGGGCACACCTTTCCCTGCTTTCTCTGCTCAGGCTGCTGGGATCCTCGGAGGTGCGGCTGGTGTCAGCCAACTGGAGGTGCCACCGAGCCTTTAATTCTCATTTCCACGTGATGACCAGAAGGTGGCGCCGGCATTTCACACTTGAACACTGACTAGCGATGGTTAAAAGAAGTCTTGAATGTCCCCTTCATGCGGGCCTCTGTGTATTCCCGGTCCTGAGCTCCAAGAGAAGGCCGGATTTGTAGTCCTTTGTTCTCAGGCCACAACATTTTGTCACCTAGCAGCAGGATGTGACCACTTCAGGAAAATTTCTCACCCCCAGCCCCCGAATCCCTCTACCTCACACTCTAGCATTGACGATTCCTTCTCTCGTGCCAAACACTTACATAGTGCTTACTCTATCCCAAGCACAGTTCTAAGCACTTTACGTGTATTACTTTATTTAATTCCTTGAAAATCTATGTGAAGGAAGTATAATGATTATCCCCATTTTACATGAGAAGAGACTGAGGCACAGAGAAATTGAATAAGTAGAGGTCAAGTTGAGGTAGTTAAGTCTTCAGGAGTCCCAATTAAAAATGGAAGTACCTTTGATGGTGTTCCATTGATTCTTAATCAGCTATTAATATAAAAATGCAAATCAATTTATGAGATGGGTTTTAGCCCATCGCTGATTGTAGAGTCTGCTGAGTGAGGGAAGAGGGCGAGGACAGATGATAGTTATCATGATAAGAGGAGAAGGACAGAATGGTACCAAGGCCTTGATAGGGTTGTCTAGGAGAAGACTGCGAAGTCAGAAGATCAGCTAAAAGAAGAGAAGTCAGCTTCAAAGGAGAAAAGGAAAGGTGAAGATGACAACTAAAGAGCGTATTACCAGAGGAGGAGAAAGGGCCCCATTAAGTTAATAAAGTTGACTTATTCTCAATTTTGGCCTAGAGCATATCCGTCTTAAAATATCTCCAGTCACTTAGCCAAAACATAAGCCCCAGTTTGTGTCGTCCTTAAAGCCTTCTCAACGTCTTGAGTATTTAGTGAACTGTTTTTACTGTGATGCAAAACTGTGAGTGCACTTGAATGCTGCCTCCTCTGTACCACCCATGGTATTTTATACTTGCTACTAATATAGAAAGTATCACATTAAATTGTCATCCTTTGTTTATGTCACTAAACTGTGAGCTTCTTTGGGCAAAACAGTCTGACTATCCCATAGAAAGCCCTCAAATTATAAAATGAGACCGACAGACTGTGTTTGTGAGACAACCAAGTAAGCAGTGGTCTATTAAGAAGCTATACACGGTGCTGGAACAACTGTATATCCAGATGGGAGAAGTGAACCTTGACCCCTACTTCATAGCATGCATAAAAAGTAACTTGAGATGGATCATAGATCTAAATATAAAAGCTAAAACCATAAAGCTTTTAGAATAAAACAGGAAAGTATTTTTGTGTCTTGGGCATGGGCGGAAGTTTCTTAGGTCACAAAAACTATAAAAGAAGAAATTGATAAATTAGACTCTGTCAAAATCAAATTCAGCTCACCAAAATATGCCATTGAGAAAATGAATAGGCAAGCTATAGGCAGGGATAAAATATTCACAAAGCATATCTGACAAAAGACTGGCATCCAGAATATATAAATAACTTCCATAATTCAACAATTAGAAGAAAAAGAAAAAAAAAGAAAAAATGGATAAAAGAATTGAACAGTTACTTCACAAAGAAGATACATAAATGACCAATAAGCACATGACAAACTGCTCAACATCATTAGTTTTCAGAAAAATGCAAATTAAAACACTATGTCTTTACACACACACTGGAGTGGCTGAAATTAAAAAGACTGGTAGCATCAAATTTAGGGGAGGATATGAAGCAAACAGAACTCTCATACTTTGTTGATGGGAATATACAATGGAACAACCTCTTTGGGAAAGATCTGGAAGTTTCTTATAACTGTAAACCTACCATATAATAAAGCAGTTTCACTCCTTGGTATTTACCCAAGAGAAATGAAAATAAACATCCACAAAAAGACTTGTATAAGAATAAAAGAATTTTACTTATAATATCCAAAAACTGGAAACACCTCATTTATCCATCAATAGGAAAATGGATAAACAAACTACAGTACATTCATACAATGGAATACTATGCAGTGATTAGAAAAAAGAACAAACTGCTGATGTGTGCAACAATGTGGATGAATTTCAAAACCATAATGCTGAGTGAAAGAACCTCAAATACAAGAATACATATTGCATGGCTTATATGAACTTCTTGAACTAATCAATAGTAGAAAAAAAATCAGTATAACTGTTGCTTCTGGGAGGACAGGGAGAGGGATTGGTGGGGAAGGTGCAGGCAGGAACTTTCTGGGTGCTGGTAATGTTCTATGCCTCGATATGGGTATGGATTATGTGTATACATTTGTCGAAACTCAACTAGTGCACACTTAAGATTTGTGTATTTTATCAGATGTAAACGTTATGTCAAAAGAAAAACAAACTGAAAGCAAATATTAAAGCCTAGTTAATGATTTGCGTACTGAGATATTTAGGGGCTGTATTTAGATGTCTGCAGTTGGAATTTGTCAGAAATATAAGATGGATTGGTGGAAGGATAGAGTGATGGATTAATGGATAGATGTGTACTGAGCAAGTAGAGTAAAGTGTTAGTGGTAGAATCTAGGTGGTGGATATACTCACTGTAAATTTCTTTCAGTGTTACAATATGTTTGAAAAATTTCATGACAAAAAAAATTAAAGAACCTACCAATACAATAATAAGGCTCTTGATCTTAGTCTTTCAAGGTCCTGTTGACATGGTGCCTCTTTGGTGCTTGAGGCAAATCAACTCCTCTTCCAGCACAGAAACCCCAAAAGTACAAGTCTCTGAAGAAATAGACATCACTTCGTCCCTGAAAGAGATACAGAGCTGCAACAGACAAACTTCTGGGGGCTCGTGATTCTACTGACATACTTTTCTTACATTAACAGAAACATTTTGCTTCTGTTTCTGGAAGAGACCTTCAAACTCTATTCTCTGTTCTCTCCTGTGTAGGAATCTTCCCGCCATCCTGGACTGGGTGAAAACTCAGAAGCCCGGAGCCATGGGGGTCAACATCATCACGTCTGACTTCGTGGACCTGGTGGACTTTGCCACAACTGTCATTGAATTGAATGACCTCCTGCAGGAGGATAGAGCTTTAGCTAAATGCTGATTTAATTTTTCATTTAACTTAATGTTGAATTTGTTGATCCAGGCAAGAGTGCTAAAGGATTTCCTGTTGGGATGGCCCCTGGGCTGTGATGCTAAAATAAGTAAGAGGAGGGCATTTTTTTCCCTCCTAACAGGGCCATTTGGATAAAATTACAGGGCATTTAATGGCATTTTTCCCAAATGAGACTTTCAAAGAACTTAAGTCCAAGGGAAGAAAGCATGTTTCACATGATCAAGGTCAGGATCTGCCCACTGGCTTCTGATGTTGAATGTAGTACGGAAATAGGGTCTCCACGTCCCACTGGGGTATTGGGTGTCCCCTAATTGGCCCAGTTCCCTGTTGTCTTCCAGGATGTTGTGTTTGAGCCAGTGAGAAGGCTGAACCAGAAAGGCAACCCTGGTCAAAACAATGGCTCATTGCAGGTGTGGACTGCCCTGTGGGTGGCATCAACCTGGGAGAAAGGGCCATGTCTCTAGGCATGTTAAATGTCACCACTTCTTCCCTGAGAGAGGAAGACCTCTTTATCACCAAGGTATTTCAGCCACAAGCTGTTCTTGCTTAGATCGTGCTTGGCAACTAGTGACCGTCATTCTTTAGTTAAACGGTTAAACATACTGCCCTTGGTATCAGAAGTGTGTTTCCTGGTTTTAAAACATTGATTCCTTTCTATTTCTTTTGGCCCCTTCTTAAAAGTGAAAGGAACAATGATGAGACATCTTTTCGGTGTGGGGCCCAACAAGAGATAGACATGCATGTTTGTTGCATGCCGGATTCTTTCATTTAATTTTGTAGCTTTTCCCAAAATGGCTGCCAGGTAGGTGCCTGCATCCTTTTGGCAAAGTCATTTCTGGAGTGCAATCTTCAACCAAGACCTTGGAACTGCATTTTGTGGTTGTCTGCCTAGGACTCAGGTCTGCACTGTGGGACGCACTGCTGAGGGAAGGCCCCTTGTCTGTGACACCGTGGAGGCAGACGCAGGAGGCATGGGAAAGTGCAATGGATTTAAGGAGGAAGCTCCAAGTGAGTTTGGAGCCATTCTGTAACTCCTTGAAAAACAAGACTACCTCGGGGACATTTAGGATGACTTATGTGTCATCAAGTGAGAAATACTCAGTGTTGGAACATTTCCAGTTCATGTCTTGATTGTTCTACTTTCTGCAGGTTGTTCTGAGCCTACTAGTCGCCACTGTATGAGGGCTTTGAAACTCAAGAGGGGGATTTTTCTTTTACTTGATAAGAGGTGGTAATCCCTCAAGAGCTCTCTTGTGTTTTGTTTTATTTATTTATTTATTATTTATTTATTTATAGATTAAGTATCTTCAGTGCTTCTTACCCTAAGAGCACTCACAAAGGAGCTTCCTGAACTTTTCTCACCCAGGCCAGATGCTGCCATGGTCTTCCTCCCCTCAACAGGACCACACTTCTCAGGACTGTGAGTGACCTCTGACTCTGCTGTAGATGTCCTGGCTCCCCCAGTCATGTCTGGGACAGTGTTCATGTGTGAGTGTGGTCCAGATCTGAGAAGCCACTACCAAGCCATGCACTGGAACAGAAGATGAAATGGGTCATGAAGAACTCCAAATTCCTGAGGAAGACCCTCCAGAAGAAGGTTGAAAGGGGAGGAGCTAGAGAGAAAGCTGGGTATGGGAGTGTGCACACTTCGATGCTCCTCAGAACTGTCTGAGAATCCCCAAGGAAGGCAGCTTCGGGGTTCTTAAGGAGGAAAGATAAACACGGAATCCTGGATGGATGTGTGCATTCATAAAGATCATGAGACCACCTCCCAGCAGCTTCCCATTCCTATTCTTGGATGCTCCTAGCTGGACTTTGCATATTACATGCTACAGTATGGGGTATCCCAGGTGAGCTACTAAAAGCACATGCATACCCCCAACTCTTGGTCTTTCAGCCTTTCCTCTCTGTAGGGTAATTTAAGCCCTGACCCTTTGCTTCCACAACTTGAGGAGGTCACAACTGCAAATGCTTCTGGGAAAATCTGGTTTAACTTTTCCTTTTCTTGCATTTGAAGCCCTCCCCAATGAGGATTCTGGGATTTTATTGTCAACTACCTTAGGGCCTTCTCTGGAAATGAATAAGAAGGTGGGTGCCCTCACTTTCTCAATCTTCCTCCAGTTCTGATATTAAACTTAGTTTAAACAAGCTCTGAAGTCCCTGGCCCACCCTCAGGGTTTTACTTGTGTTGTTATTATTTCGTTTTGGTCTTGTTTTTAATTCTTGGTCAATTTCTAGGGACTAGATCATTGCCCCTCTTTTAACCCTGTGTTACTTGGCAAAGAGATAAGGAGGCAAGAGGAGACTTACTCTGCTCTGTTTTATTTGAGCCTCAGCTTTGTCCAGGTGCTCGGTGCTATGAGGCCAAGCGTGTTGACAGGTATCTGCACAGGATGCCAATGACAACCAAGGGCTGCTGACTATTCAGTGAAATGTTTACTTGATTTTCTCCTTTAGTTTTAAAATATATAGTTGCACTTCACTTGGGTTGTAACATTTAAGTGCACCTCAGTGTTTGCATGAGAAGAGAAAAGTCATCAAGCGTGACACAAAAGCACAGAAAATGATACAAGGTCGCCTGCATGGAGTCCTCCACTGCATGGCGAGTGCAGGCCTCATTTCTTCATGCTGCTTTGGGTTGCCAGCTGGGCTTCCATTCTGAAATTCTGCACAGGAGCTCTGGGAAGTAGGAGAAGGGTTATTTATCATTCATCCTTGATAAACACCTTTGAATGGGCAGAATCTCTGCCCCCAGAAAGAGTTGCTCAGCGTGTAGTGAAGGATGTGTGCATTCTGCTCCTTGATCGAAGGCCAAGCAGGAGAGTTGAGTGATGGGACAGAGGGAAAATAGACTTTAGTTCTATAACTCATTCTGCAACTGGCAACAATAAACATGGTTACCCAACCACATCACTTATTCTCGCAAGTTCTGGGGACCTTTCAGATCAAACAAGGCTCTGATATTTGCTCAGAATTAACTTTACGATTAGCTAAAAAGCTTCTTGATTGAGCCAAAGAGGACTTTAGTTTCACAGGATTTGGGGCAATATTTGTTCTGAAATGTAGACTGACTTTTTCATGAGCTCCCTGGACCATTTCCCACATGGCCACATTTCCATGGCTTTGTGGCAAGGGGGACCATCACAGATTTCAGTTAGATTAAAGCAGTGTTTAAAGGCTTGAACTTTGAGCCTATTAGAAGTACCACTGTGGTTTCATGGGTACAGAAGATATTGTTAGAATTGGAGACAGAGGTCAAGATGGAATTGATGGAAGGGAATAATAAATTATTGAGGATTAAATTTTAAATTAATGGCAGATCTAAGAGGATTATGCCAAAAAATATTATATATTTGCTATATTAGACTGTATAGTAATTAAGTTTATTTTCCTTAGCACTGAGTCCAGACCCCTGAATTATCGAGAACAGTTAAGCCACGGTCCAAACCCAGGATTTTATATAAACTCAAAGAAAAGCACAAGATTCTGAGCCCAGGTCATGATCGATCCTAAGAATCCTCGTTCTTCTTCCATGACCTCATATTCACATCAGAAAGTTTCTGTTTCTGTTCAAGGAGACAATGTAATGGAGCATTCTGGAATTAAAGGCAGTTTTGTGGTGTGTCAGGATTTTCTATTTCTGTTTTTCTGAATTTTGCCGTAATAAAGTCCTCCCCAAAGAGACATTATTACAACCCAGCTAGGAGGCTTAGTGCTCAGCTAAAGGTGGAGAAAAAGGAGATATTAAGACTGAAATGAAACTGTCTCTTTTCCTGAGAAGCAAAAGGGCTACCCCAATTCAGGCCATCTTACAGAATTAGTTTATGCCACAGTTGAAATTTTTGTGTTTTTCTTTCTTGGCTGACTGCGGATTTTTACTGGTGGGTTCTGGGAAACAAAACAGGCAAATGAGTAGGGCACAGCCGTGAGACTCCCCTCCTGTGGCTGAGCGACTGAGTGATGCTGTGCTGGATTTGCCTTGGCTCCTTCCTCTGGAATAAAGAGGCTGTCTGGTCCTTTAGTGCTGTTTTGCAAACCTTGGGTGAGTAGCTCCCCAGAATATCGCTCCCTAGTGATTAGGTTCACTGCCTTATAGTCAGGGGCTCCACAGTCGTGGTAGTTCTTCCCTGAGTGGTGTGTGTAGAGAAATACTACTTGGACTTATTTCTCAAAAGTGTGGCGTGGGATGACAGAACTTGTCCAACAGCGGCGCCTTCAGTAATCCAGATAATGAATAGGGCTGAAAGAAAGCTGCTTGCATGTACATGAGCTCCTGAAAGGTGGGCTTTCCCAAATACCTGCTAAATAGGCACATTATGCCAAAAGGAAAGGGATAGAAATTGATACCATCAAGTGTCCAAACTGATAGGAAGTTTGTTTTATATCGCATAGAACTTGCTTCTCCCTCTGAATTCCAGTAACTTTCCAGTACATCTTGCTCCTCTGCCTCAGGCTGCTTTCTAGTTTTTGCCACCATAGCTTTGTCACTCACAAATGTTGCCTTTGATACACAGGAGCGAACTGGTTGAGTGATAAGTGATGTACCTGGAAACTTCACGCTTAATTCCAAATAATACTGAACAGCTCTTTACTGCCCCCCCAGAGACACACTGATCCTGGTCCTCTGGCTCCCCCAGCTTCCTTCTAGAAATAGTGACACTGATGGCACTATATCATTGAATTAACCCTAACCCAGAAGAATGCAGTACAAAACCCTGTTGATGTTGAAATAGCATTCTTAGAGGCTGTAAAAATATTCTAAGATAACTTTTTCTGTCCTGAGGTAGAGTGTTCTAGTATTTTCTCCAACAAAACTTGTTCTTAGGACTTTTCAAACTTGTTTCTAAGCCACATCGTTTGGATGAAATATTTTCCCTCTCTCTTCTGGAAATTCAATCCCACAGTCTATTAAGGCAACCCCATGAATAGTGTAAGACATTTTCCATCTCATTTCTTCTCATCTCCTTCACAGAAGACCACTTTCTGCTTTTCTCTTGTCTCTTGGCCATCCTCTGTCATCTGCTGATTACTGTTAATCACAGGAAGCTGGCAAAACTTACAGTAAAAGGCACATACGTTCACTGATGTCCAAACGCACTCCTATCACTGTGGTTTTTGCTCCTTACTCTTCTCAGATGCATTATTCTGACCCCCACCACTACCACCCAAAGACTAGAGCTACACCTGAGAGGAACCCAGAACTTGGGGCTAGTGTTTCATTCAAAGAGCAGGGGCATGCTCACAAGCTTTGAGCCTAATGAGAAGCACAGCACTTTTAAAAGTCAAATAGGCCTTCGGTAGCTTTGTACGTTTGCAGTTTTACATTTGTTATTAGTTTATAGCACTAATAACACTGTAGTCATGAACCTATAGTGTCAATATGATAAATCTTAGAAGATATTCTAGAGACAGTGGTACCCTGCCGCTATTATACTTCCTAATTTACACCCCAATATTAATACGTATTACATACAGATTGTGTATGCATTATTTGTGTTGTGTATATGCCAACTGTAATACTTGACCTCACTGATCAGAATCAGGAAATACAAACACTGTCATAGTGAAAATAAGTCTTGGTCAATTCAAATGATACGCGAATCTGATAAATGCTCTATTAGATATTATGTTTTGTCCTCTATGCTTGTTTTATATTACAGTGCATGCTATTTGCTAAGTTAAGTAAAATAATAATAAACGATGCCAACTTGAAAGTTAGAATTAAAATTTTGCATATATGCCACTTGGTACTCTGAAATGTATCTTGTGGCTTAATTATCTTTTTCATGCACATTTCACTTGGATTTTTTCCCCCTAGGAAATAATTGTTCAAATCTCTCTCTCTCCTTTCTTGTAACCTGGATTAAATTGTTTAATTCAGCCTGAAACATTGTAAAGCCAGATTACCTCATTTTAACTGTGAAAAAAGTTCAATAGATGTGATAATATGGTGTCTTTTCTTGTATTTGATTTGAACTACCTAAGGAGGCTTAAGCCTAATAATAAATAGAAACCTTCAGCAGGTACTTTTCCTTTGCTCGTATGCACGTTTTGTTATTGGCCCACTTCTAATTTTGTCTTGAAAAGTTATAGACTCAGCATCAATGAAATTCCTCATTATACGATACTGGCTGAAGACCCTTGCAGCCACATCCAGCACCTATTGGAGTGAGCTGCACATGCCTGTGGTTCCCAGGGTGAGCTGTGCATGAATGTGCACACAGCCTAGTCACCCAGTTTTCCAAGCTTCATCCTCAGCACTTGAGCTATTTCTACTAGGCTTGGCCCAGGTCCTGCTGGCATCCATATTCTCGCCTGACTACCATCTCCAGCCCACATTACTGCGTGATCACCAAATGTCCAGAAATAGAACAATGCAGAGGTTAAGTGTTTGTGCATACAAAGGTTAAATAAGAGTGAGCCTGCACTTTCTGTTGGCAATGAAGATTCCAGTATTTTCCTCATTCCTAATTCTTTTTAATACAATATCTAAGGCCACTTAATTTCAGTAAATTTCTCTTTTTGCCCTACCACCTACAAAAATAATGGGTTGAGGTGAAAGTCTTGTGTATGAATTTAGCAGAGATCAAATTAATTCTGAGTAATCATTCATTTGACATAGTTCAATGTTAGAACAGGTAATTAGGGATAATTATATTTCTGGTCAAGTTACCATAGTAATTGAAGAACATAGTCATGGTCAGAATGTTCTGCCTGTATTTTTAGGTTTTGTGTAGTAAATCTACATTATGTCCTCTGGTTTGCTTTGATAAGCACCACTGTCGGTCATTCCTATTTGGTTTTAATAAAAAGTGACATGATGTAGATAGAGCTGGGTCCAAACATAAGCAAAGCAGGTATAACCCACATAGTGTAATTGCAAGGTTACTACTGCCCTGCCTCCATTTCTGAACGTGCACTTGCTTTGAGACATTGCCTCTACGACAATGGGGCTGTTGCATTATGTATGAATTCTTTAATATCTAAACACATATTAATTTATCATATTACAACATTCTATTTAGCACAGAAGCTAAGAACAGGCATTTCAGAGATGCACAGACCTGGGTTTCTGTTTCAACTCTATCACGTCCTGGCTGGGTGACGTTAGGCAAACTGATAGCTCTAAATATATAGGATATGGGACTAATCATACCTACTCTGAGGGATTATTGAGAAGTCCACATAAGAAAACATATGGAAAGCATTTTAACACAGAGCCTGGCACATAGTAAATTCTCAAAAGTAGCTGTCAGTCTTAGTACCAGAGGTAGGGACTCTGTACCCACTTCCTCCAAATAGCATCCAGCACAATGCCTTCAACATGGTTGACTGCTAACTATTGTGTTTATTGGTGAACGATTTAGCAGAAACTAATTAATGAGAGAGAAAGCAGATAAATTCAGACAGCGAAAGGGGAAGTTGCACAATCACTGGACAAAATATGCATTGCTCAGAGCATGGGACTCATGCCACTAGTGGTATGCAGGATGATGTGGGGTGGAAGATGCCACATCCTTGAATAGCATTAATATTATTAATCACTTAATCATTCTCATTAGTTGAAAGTCTCTGCTTAGTGGTCATACCTCTCTAACCCTTATTTACCTAGCAAAACCAAGAAAGACTATAGTATCCAGCTAACATTTAATACCATTTCGTTTGTATTGTGTTTATTTTGTGGTTACCTCCTCTTTGTAGCAAGTGACCCTGGGTTTTTCAATAGTGATGTAAAATTTCCTTTCTAAACAAATTTATTTAGGTCTTTTAAAGAGTCCACGTGCAGACTATGGGAATGACCCAAGTTTCTGATCCTATCCAGGTTGAAAAAATGCAGTTGAGTCTACCACACACTTTTGCTGAGAATTGGGTTTGGCTGGGCTCTTTTAAACATCCTTCCCTAACTAAATAAGCGTATAAATGAACTGCTATTCGAGATAGAAAATCACCTCTTTTTTCATGAGAGAACTTTCTTCATGGTTCCTGTAGAATGTCATGCTCGGGTCATCCTCTCTCCACATCATCCTCCAGAGCAGTTGAAACTGGAGGCAGAAAGGTGCTGGCATGGCTCCGTCCCACAGATGGCTCAGCTGGGTTGACATGGAATGTAGAGAGCAAGCTTTTCTTCCACTTGGAAAGTGATTCCTTTTCTGTGAACCCCTGAGGTTAGGATGCCTGAATGTCCTGGATTTTTGTTGTGTTTTTTCTCCAAAGGAATTCTTCTTGATCAGCAGTATGTTTCTTTGTTTACTCCTCTACAAGTCTGCTCACTGTGACTAAGGAGTGTTATTATTTTTAAGACTTGAAACCTTTCTTCTCAGGGAGGGTGGGAGGTGTCAAGGGAGGGACAGTGGCCAAAGCCCATGTGCCTCAAACCTCACCCTGGATGGCCTGGACGAGTGTCAGTAAAACAAAAGTGCTAGTCAGACCAGGGTGTTTGCACAGCTGGGCAGTGTTTGGGGATAGCATGGGTGGGAAGCAGGACGCAGAAGTGTCAGCCTCTGTCCAGTAGCATCATGCAATTGAGAGAAGCTTCAGGCAAGCAGATGGCTTTAATCTAAGGGGCCTGGTGTCTGAATAGGATTTGTCCTGTGGAGAAAGGGCCTACGAAGCAGAGCTCTTGTTGCAAAAGGAGGCCCTAAAAGCTATTCTTTGTTTAACCTGAGAACTTTGTTGCCTTTTGGCCTAAAGACTTAACTGCATTGATCCTCGTTGGGCGTTTGCTCCATCCAGGCCCAAGGAGTCTCATTTCTAGGGCCTCCGTGAAGTAGGGGATCTAGAAGAAGACAGTAGATTGCATTTGCAAAAGCTTCCCCACCAACACCCTTGTGCATGTAGAACTAGCTTGCCATGTGTCGGGGCGGGGATGACTGCTTCACTGGGGCCAGAAGGCCCTGAAATGTCACACAAAATTTTAGATACATGTGCACTTCTTCTGCTTGAGGATCCATAGCTTTCATTGGATTCTCAAAAGAATTTATGATCCTAAAAATTTATATATCACTGGCTTTCAAGTGCCTGTGATAATGAATGATCGTTTAAATGTTGGTAAGCAAGCAAAGATGGCTAATTTAGGCTAGCACTAGAAAGCTTTGGTCCTTTCTGTTTAAAAAAAAACCTAAATTAAGACTCATGAGTTTGTTCACTCTGAGTGCTCTCTTTCAAGAAGTAAGGTTGGGTAAAACAAGATAGAAAGGAACAGACTATGCCAAGTCCAGAGGATCCTAAGGGATAGTTAGATGGGCTCTAGCAAGAGAGGGTGGTGGGCAAGCCAGAGAAGCCAAGCATGCTAGCAGGCATAGAGAGAGCTGGGCACTAGGCACAGATCTGAGCACCGCATTTCAGGGGGAAGTGGGTACGTTGGATCCTTCCCAGAGAAGGGCAATAGGAGAGTGAAGGGTCCAGAAGTCATGTCACATGAGACACTGGGGATGCTGAGTTTGGAAAAAAGATTGAGAGGAAGGGGACAGGGATATCGTCAAATATTTTCAAGTTGTTACATAACTGACATTGTAGAATCTTAGGACTTTAGACATGGAAGGGACCAAAGAACATTTGTCCAGGTGCGAACGTTACAGGAGGGAAAACTGAAAGCCAGAGAGAACTGACTGGCCTAAGGCAGTGCTGGCACTAGAATCTGGGCTCGGAGTCCTTCCAAGTGTCCTTTCCCATCATTACCAACGTCCTCCCTGAGTGCCAGTGTGATGGGAAGAACTAGGAGCCATGAGTTATCATTTCAAGAAGGTAGAGCTTGGCTTAATAAAGAGCATTCCTAAGTGGAATGGGATGCTAAACGAAGTTACGAACTCACCATCACAAAGAGAATTTCTGGGAGAGTGTATGAGTTGCCTATTGCTGCTGTAACAAATTACCACAAACGTTGTGGCTTACAAAACACAAATCAATTACCTTCCAGATGTAGAGTCAGAAGTCTCAAATGGGCTTGCAGGACAGTGTTCCTTCTGGGCTCTAGCAGAGAATCCATTTCCTTGTCTTTTCAGTTTCTAGAAGCCACCTTCCTCGGCTCCTGGCCCCTTCCTCCATCTTCAAAGCCAGCAGCATAACGTCTTCAATCTCTGAGTCTGCGTCTATCATCACATCTCTTTCTTTGATTCTGACCTCTTATGAGGGCTGTTGTGATACACTGGACCCACCTGGGTAATCCAGGATCATATCCCATCTCAGCATCCTTATCACAACTGCAAAGTCTCTTTTACCGTGTAAGGTGACATATTCACAGGTTCTGGGGATGAGGACACGGACATCTTTGGAGGCTATTGTTCAGCCTACCCCAGAGTGTATCATGGAAAGTGCATTGACACTGGAACTGGCTTTTGAGCAGACCTGAATTCAGAGCCTGGCTTCAGTGCCTACTAGTTGCATGACCATTACCCCTCTGAGCCTCTGTTCCCTCATCCATAAAATAGGAGTAAAAATCTCAAGATTTTTACAAAGATTTGTGGTAATAGATATAAAATGCCTAACAGATAGTGCATGCTCTATAAGTGACAGCCATATTTATTCAAGGAACTACCAGATGATTATTACCAGACAGGAATTCACTAAAAGAAACTCCATCATTAAATGGAAGGTTTAATAAAGTGACCTCTGAGATCCCCTTCTGAGATGCTAAAATAAAAGGGAGTAAAATAAAAAGAGATTTCCTCCCACATATGCTTGTCTTGTCTACTTCCCAGATCCAGTTACAAAGTAATTGCTTTTCTGGATAGCCAATAGCTAACAGACTCTGCTTTTTGCCCCTCACAGTACTGCTATCTGATCTTGTCACCTAGACCTCTGGTCAGGTTTGAGCAGGAGTAAGAGCCTGGCCTGGTGGGTAATGATTGGTCAGACCAGGCAGCTGAGACCAGGGTAGCCTCCCTCCCTCACATCTGTCAACATACCCGGCTGCAGGCAAGTTGCTGCCGTGACCACTATCTGTAGGGGCCAGAGAGAGCAGGAAAGGAAACCGAAGGGAACACCTCGATTCCGTGCTTAGGGAAAAGTAGAAGCCTGTGTTGATGCTTCTTC